TCAGAATAAAATAAATAATATATTGTGGAATTAAGGTCTTGTATATTAATCTCTCAATGCAAGAAAATGTTTTCCAGAGTGGACATGTTGTCATCACAATGTATGTCCACAATTCCCAAGGAACTCAATTGGGAAATTTCAACTGTTCGCGTATCTAGATTTGCAAATATTTGGAACCAAAAGATGAACACCAATTCTGGAAAACATATTCAGATGATGATGATGATGATCTATTCAGAAGTTACAAATTAAATTTTGATTGAGAACTAAACTCTATGCACAAAAATTCCACTTCTTTATCTGACAAATATTACCTCTGGCTCTAAGTTTCTGTGCCCACACATGACATTTAAATGTACAACACATAACTAGTCTCCTATAACTAAACATTCTATTGTCACAATTATGAATACCAACTTACTGTGGCCTGTAGAGAAACATCTCAATAACAAGATCCCTCCCTTTCTCATGATTGAAGAACACAAATAGACTCCAATGAATAAACCATGTTCTCTGATGTAAACTCTGCAGAGCTGACCCAAATGAGTTGTTGTCAATATATTCACGGAGCTTGTTCAGGTCTTCTAGTGCTGTGTCCCAGTTTTGCAACAGAATCTCAGAAGCAAGTTTTCCCCACAACACATTTAAATAATTCTGTGAGCAAATACAAACATGTTAGAATATTGGTCATCAAAAAGTTTGCTTATTTGGTCATTTTATGACATTGTACCAACTGCTAAGGTTACACAACATCAAAAAAATATGATGTGCACACGCGCACACATAAAAAAGCAGAAGTTACCTTGTCGCTGGTTGGCATGACAAGAATGTAGAAGTACAAGTAGCTGGTGGTGAGGGAGTAGTTTCCACACTCATAGCGATATTTTGCCAACTTGTACATGCTCTCCATTATATGGGGCTCACACTGGACAAAAAATATAAATATAAAGTACATGCAGTAACAGTAAATACAACAGCCATGAAGAAATTCAAGGTTAATGATTTATGTAATGAAGCTTTACAAACTGATATGTCACAAATGGCCAATTGAGAAATGCAGAAGATTAAGAATTATAAGTTGAAAAATGTGTGGTACTGTCCACAGATCACGAGAAAAACCCTGCTGGGGGAAGTCGTTTCTGGTGCGGTGCAGGGGAATGTTACTTATCAGCTGGACTAGAGGGCTGCTATTGGTGGGAAGTGTGATACGTCAGAGTTTTACACTACTACACACAGACTGAAAACATTAAGAGTAGCATGTAGTGAGTAGCATGTAGTGAGTGCACCTGTACTGTGTTCTGCAGGTGTTGCGATAATATTCTAGATTAAATTGCTGTGCTGCTGTGAGGTAATCTTAAAGCTGTACCCATTAGAACACATGAAAGCCTGTCGTCTGTTGTTCATTCAGTGGTTGTGGAACGAATGCTTTTAGGATCGGTCGTCATTCACCGCGAAATCTTGCGCATGCGCGTATATCGAATTCCTAGCAGGGATTTTCTCCTGATCTGTGGACTGTACTAATCCAAAGTTGGTCTGTGGGGTCAGATTCAAATTGGAGAACCTCTCAAAATGAAAGAGTGGTTGATTAACACCACTGTTTGATGACAAGGTTGCATGCAATTTCAACCATGTATTTCACTGAAATTGCATGCATTGTTTTATAATAAACTAGTCCTGCATTATTTAAAAGATTCTTACTGTTGAATTTAAAATTTCTGTTTGTAACATAATCCATATTTCCTTTAGTAAAACACATAATTTTTCTCTGAATCTGAGATAGTTTCACTTTTGTTTCATTGTGAATTAGAGTGATATGCACAGAATGGAACAAATGGAATGAATGTGGCATACTGAAGTACACCATGACCAATCCTTGCAGAATTAAGAACTGGAATGCCTGTCCAGTTATAGATTATTATATAGATCTTACTTTAAGTTCATCTTGAAGAAAATTCATTAGAGTTCTAGAATCTCGCATGGTCTCCATTTTCTTCATTAATTCATCATCTGTCATAAGTGTAAGAATTGGGTCACACGTTTCATTCAGATCTTGCAGCTGGTGCACCACGTTAAGACGCCGGGTTTTCATATCCTGAAATTATAGTAAAAAGTAAAAATGTAGACATGATCACACCTGTAATAGAATTCTTCTTGGGTAGATGCCCTCTGAATGCACATCTGAATCACAAGGAACACATAGTATTGCATCAACTTCCTCTTACTGATATACTGCCAGCAAGTCAGCTGCATAACATGACCATACCATATAAGTAAAGAATGAGAATGTGAAAAGTTCTTTTCTTTCTGGATGTCAATATCAGCACACAAATCTTTATATTTAATGTCTGACATATTAATTGTAATCAAATTACAAAAGTATTCATAACAGAACAATTTAACACATTTAGACATGCCATGCTATGCCATTGAGTACAAACTGCCTAATGCAATATATCACTTCTTGAATTTGCTGAAAATGCAGTATAAACAGAATAGTCAACACCAAGTTGAGAAAGGATCGTCACTGCCTTCCAATTGATCCTATCCAAAATTATTTGTTTAACCTTCACCATCATCCATTATGCTTACAATGAATTTCAAATTTTAAGTCTATATGAACTACTTCTGAAAGCAAATCCACAAATAAATTGCTTCAAGCCAGAGAAAGCCATCTTAATGAAAACACTCACTTTATAGTTCAGTAATTCCAAACTATATATCAATTCTCCAAGACCAGACAAACTGCCCACTGAAGTATATTCAAGTACATATTATTAACTAACCTCTGGAACTTCCTCATTTGGATATAGCTGCTTCCGAATGTCTATTGCATAATCCACCATATTTGTTTTGCTCAGAATATCTAACTTTACTTGAAGTAATTCATTTTCATCATATATCTGTAAAAATAAATGACAAGTTTCTAAAGTATGCTTTTGATACAGTAAGCTGTGAACTGTAAACATTCATAATGGAAGTTCGCTGTAGTGACAGTATTCTTGTACTGCATGGCATCACAACTCTGAAGACCACAGTCCACACTTTTAACCATTGTGAAAACCTTCAATCTCATAAAGAACATCATTATTTACAAAGTCCAACTATTCAAATCATGGGATTATAATGAGCCAGACATGTAGCTGAGGCTGCGGAAAAAGTAATATGAACAAAGTTCTGGTAGAAAATCCAGCTGAAAGGCCTAGATATTGTATAAATAACATAAGCAACCATGTTCGGTATGGAGGTTCAGTAATCACACTGTCTAATACAGATAACAGTAACCACAAATACCTAAGTGCAAAGTCAATTAAAGTAATATGTAACGTAATAGCCATTATGACTATCTCTGAAACTGATCTAATCCACACACACCAACAATAAATAGAAATAAAGTGGTATTAATGAACCCCATGTTAATCTTGGTGCAATGCTGGCATCTTGGTTCTGTACTCAGTGAGCTGAGTGGTACAAAAGACAGGGTTTTGTGGTGAATGAGTCAGTCGGAATTTTGAGTGTTTGCAACTCTTTTTCCCCCCCAACCCAACCTGAATCCTCACTTGGAAATTTTGTCAGGATCAGCCTATGAAATCCAGGCTTATGAACACATTCTCTGGGAAAGTGATTCAGCTTCATCCTAACATCAACAGAGGATGTGTTCTGCCTGAGAAGGTCATAGGAGTCTCTTATTCACTCTGAAAAAAATTATTTCCAAGAACATTTCCTCTTGATTCTAATCCCCTTTCTGGCCCTTAGAAGAGCTGCCATATCCTTTTTCTCCTTATCCAGCATACCTCCCTAGTGTCATCCACTTCCAAACACACTTCACCACTGCCATTACAACATACTCTAAGACTAAGCATAATCTACTCTATAAAGCTTGGGCTGACACAGACCATGGATATATTCACATGAAAAATTGTAAATATTCTGTAATATGTAAATACTTGGACCTGCCCTCTTCAACCTGCAACTTAATAATATCTGATCAGAAGCTCCAAAATGAGTTCAACACCAAGACAGACTATCAGTTCCAAAGTGACCCAGACTTGGACACTCTTCACAAACAAAAACATATCTTAAGAACAGAACATATGTAATATATGTACATACAGTGGTAAGTTTCTGACGACCAAAATGTGAATATGACGCCTAAGAGAAAATTTATATTAGAAACAATTATTGTATTTGTGCTATGACATGTTCTACATGCTTGGTTTGGGCCTATGAAGAATCTATAGAATGTAAATACATTATATTATATTATAAAATACGTTGGCGAAATCCACAAGTCAACAAATGATTACATGGCAGCAAAGTCAGGTTATAGTCCAATACCATGAAAGTTATTATTTCATACTTACAATTCGATTGCAGTTGTGGTTTAAAAACCGCTTACCTGTTTGGCGGACAGAAACTCGAGGAGTGGAAAAATCAAATGTCTATCCAAATACTGACCCATACGGGAAGTTAGATCAAACTTGGCCATTGCAAAATCACCGATAACCAGCTATTGGATGATCAAAAAATACCTGTAAAAACATATTTTGCAGCCCTGTAACATATGCATCCAACAATCACACGCATACAACTTCTTATACATTCGAAGCTAAAGACAACACACATACCTTCTTAACCTATCTACCTGCAGTCGTAAATCACAAATTCAGCAAGAGTTGTACAGCGCAAGGTTGGTAGAATAGATAAACCACCTAGGGTTGGTAGAGCACATTCTATGTTTTTGCCAACCTTTAAATAGAGAATAATTACTCCGGGTATCCAGCGCTTACAGTTTTATTACGAACATAAATACAGTATATTGAAAACAGTTTATTTCGTTATTTATTTAATGTAAGAAGAGTTATGTGTTAAAATATTGATCCTGAAATTTTAAGTTGGCATTGGTGTGTCACGTACATCGTCACCTGTGGTGCGTTACAGAATCTGTAATTTTGATAGTCGATTGTTTTATGGAACGGTGAGAAGAGCTGGGAAGTATTGATGAATATTTCGTCTGTAATATAGGCTATTCGTTTATAATAGCTGTCAGAATGCCACCTAAAACAAAACCGGTTCAACCGAGCAAGAAAACGGCTGAAAAAAAGAAGGAAAAAATCATAGAGGTAAATACATAAGATTGTAGCAGCGTGTTTCGTACAGTCCTACACAGCGTATGGTCTGGTAAGAAGCTCCCTGAATATTACACGTTGCAACTGTGGTATTTGTCACTCTGAACATGCAGTGACCACTTCACCTGCAAAATATCCTTCAGAATGACTCTTTGCCTGTGGGTTTACTTAGGAATTAGGTGTCATATACTGATGAAATTTGTTTAATACATTTAATCTGTTACTGATGTACTTTGAAAATTTTGTTTAATACATTTAATCTGCAATTGATGTACTGTGCACTTTGCAAATCTGGTTAATAAATATATGTTGAACTTCATTTGAAAATCAATTTTTCCATTAACATTTTAAACAACGTGAATTTATTGTTGGAAAGTTTAGAATATATATATATATATAATTTTACATGCAATTATGAGCATTTGATTTCTGCATGAGACATTGTATCGTAATTGTTCGTGTTATGTGAGACTAATGTAGTTGAGGGAAGATTATACCATTCAGTGACCATGTATTCTTGTTGCTCAGTTTGAATTTTCTTTGCAATAACTGTACCTGACATAAACCATTTTACACATTTTGAGCCCTTGCCCCAGTAACGTGGTACTGAATTTTGTTTATAGATATATATATATATATATATATATATATGGTTAATCTCCCAAGTGCTTCTTTGCTTGTCATTTTCTAACCAAAATTTTGAATTTATTTATTGTGCCCCCTCCCAACTTATTCTAATCACCATAAGGATATTAGGAAAAGAGTATGAATTGTAAATGCTCGCTTATTATGAAATTTTCTCCATTGTCCTGTCAGTTTATCTTTATTATGCTTAAAATTATCCTTAGCATTTTGTTTTTAACCACCCTCTGTTCCTGTTCTTGTCTCAGAATGAGAGACCAAGTTTCATACTCAATGCCATCTTACAGGGAAGGTCATAAGGAGTCTGGCCCTATGGCCCTTATTAGAGTGAGGCTTCGTATTTGTAGAGGGGAAATGAAACAAAACTAGAAGTTTCAGTACTACTTTGTTATTTCAGTTCAGTAAAGGATTGGGTTCCATTGACATCAACCTTCATTTGTGTGAGAAGTATGCTATCATTCCACTAAATAGCATATTACTGCATGTAGTGACTCTCAAAGGAATCAGGTAGGCGTTAAACAACATAATATTTTCCAACCATTACAGAAAGTTGCAAGTGGGAAGGGCGAGAATCAAAGAGTTAGGGAACATCGTCTCCAAGTGCTTTAACATGTTAGCCCAGCGGTAACTTGTACCATCTGCTTTAATAATCAAGAACTCTACACTTTGCCAACAGAATGCATTTATGGGTTTCAATATGCTTCTCATAGAAAACAGTGATTATTTACTTCGATGGGATTGCCCAGCTGGTCTTTGTGATGGAGAAACATTTAATTTTCTTTGTGGTTTGGACTGAGTTTTTAAATAACGTTTTGATGGGATTTGGCTTCAAAGGTTTACAATGGCCCTGTTCATATCCATATAGAACAACACGTAAAATAGTCTGTAAGAACAAGGTATCCTCAAATCCTACAATGATGCATCCTGTCACTACTTTTGTTTTATTCAAGTGCTGTAAGAATGTGTTAAAATATGAAAGTAAGTTTTGTTTTTTTTGCTAATATAATGACTGACATCTATATAATGTGAAGATTTTCAAGCAAAACAGAAATAACAGGATGCCATATAGGAAAGCTGCACCATATCATGGTATTGACATCTGTATTTTTCATCCAGATATATTTATTCCTGCAGGACAAAACATTTGGCTTAAAAAACAAGAAAGGGGCAAAGCAGCAACGATTCATTCAACAAGTTCAGCATCAGGTTAAAAGTGGTGGAAATGCCAAAAAGCCTACTGATGATTTGAAGAAGCTGGAAAAAGAGAAGAAACTGAAAGATCAGAAAGAAATGAATTTGCTGTTCAGACCTGTAGCGACACAGAAAGTTGAAAAGGGTAAGAATGTTGTTTAGGTGCACAAAATGTTTTTCCTGTTGGCTGTTTGTTTGCACTGTGCAGTGTGGCCTGTTGGACCAATGCTCCAGAGTAAAATTAAAGAGTCAATGTTTGATAGTTTCATCACCACCTTAGTGGATAGTAACAAAGAAATTGATTTATTCATTTGGTGACAGTGCTGACAGTAACTCAGAGTACATAGCATTGATCAAGCAGATTGGTGGAGAAGTAGCAATCTAGGCTTGTATTAGGAAAGTTCCTGGTTCATATCTTAGCTGGATTACTGTTTATTGTGACTGAAGATTTTGCGATTTTCTTTTGTCTAGCCAGGCAAATGCCAGGATAGTACATTGACGTAAACCACTAGTGCCTCCTTCCAAATCATTAAATTTCATTCATGATTTATTAATGCCTCATTTTAATACTAGAAAATTCTGTAATTAAAAGAGCATTGTTAAATAGTTTTAAGAATTGGTCATTTAGGGGTTAGTCTTGTTTCAGTGTCACTGATTGTGTTCATGATTTATGTTTCCATATTCCTTTTCATTTGCATTTATAAAATATTCTAAGAATTCCCCCTCACCATCCCCATATTGTGGAAGCAATTTGTTTTATAATTGGCCACTTTTTAGGGAACTGGATAGACACTTATAATCTTCTTTGACTGTTTGACACTAAACATTGTATCTGAGGGAGGAGTACAGATTTTTAAGCTCATCATTATGCAGTTTTCTCCATGCCCCATCGTCTTCCCTCTTAGGCCCAAATATCATCCTCAACACCCTGTTCTCAAACACCTGCAATCTGTGTTCCTCCCTCTGAGTGAGTGACCATGTTTTGCACCCATACAAAACAACAGGTAAGATTATTGTTTTGTATACTTTAATTTTCAGGTTCTTAGAAATCAGATGGGAAGACAAAAATATTTTGAACTGAGAAGTAGCAAGCATTTCCGGAATTTAATCTCCTCCTAACTTCCTCATGAGTGTCATTTTCATTTGTTATTGTTGTTCCCAGATATTTGAACTTTGTAACCCTTTCAAAGGACTTATTACCTACCCTAAGATAGTTTTGCCCGCCTGTCTTCTGATGACAAGATACTAACATGTACTTAGTTTTTTCTTAATTTACTTCTAGCCCCACCTGTCTACTCTGTCTCTCCCTCACTTAATTTTTTCAAATCAAATCTTTCTGTGTCAAAATTTTGTTTAGTTCGTCTACTTACTGAAAGCCGCTCCCTCACTTTTGCTACCACCAGATAATGATCAGTGTCGCAATCTGCTCCTCTGAATGATCTCACATCAATTACATTTGTCTGCCTTCTATTATCTACTAAAACATGATCTATTTGATTGTGTGTTCTGCCATCTGGGGAAGTCCAAGTGTATTTATGAACATCACGGTGTGGAAATTTTGTACTTTTTACAATTAAATCTTTTGACGTAGCAAAGGTTACTGCTCTAACACCGTTATCATTACTAAGTGCATGGAGACTCTCGCTGCCTATTGTGGGTTTGAAGACATCCTCCCTCCCAATTTTTGCATTGAAATCTCCTAGCAGAATTTTCATGTGATACTTGCCAAAGGTATCAAATACTAGAATGGGGGTTGAAACAACTGACCAACCCCCCCTTTGGGGTGGGTTGGTCAAGTGTTTAAAATGCCAAATTTTTACGTCCAGCCCCACCCTTGCTAATCTTCGTCTTAAAATCGATCATAAAGTCAGTTTTCGTAATCGTAATATATCGAATGAGTATCAGTTTACCTTGTTGGAGTTGGTATTTCAAATACTTGATAACGTCTTATTTCACTTTTCTGTTGTTTTAGGCCAACTGTCAGTCAATATTCCCTTCTCGAAGGTATCACCACCTTGTCGAAGGCAATCTGCCGGGTGAGGAGGCTTGCGTGCTCAAATGACCCTTAGGGCTATGCCGGCCTGAGCTTCGGCTCATGGTAGGATCACCCAAGCCGGACAGGTCTAAGGAGATGCGCTAGACTAAGAGTGATACCCTGGTCCTCCAGGTTGGGGGTTGGGTGTAGGGCTAACAACCTTTCACCTTTAAAAAAAAAATATGTGTTACGAAAAAATCAACCAAGCCTCGGATCAGGACGGACTCTTTGGCACGACCACGGCAATTGAAAAAGGACATGAGATTTGGTACCTGGAACATTAGGAGCCTCTATAGGGCTGGGGCACTGAAATCAGTGGGTAGGGAATTAGGGAATTATAAGTTAGAC